TGATAGCAATTCTTTTTATTACTGGCTCCTTGCAAATTCATCCTCACAAATGGCAACATCCATTAAAAAAAAGGAAGAAGGATGGTAATGATTTTTCTCCTCAAAACTTAATTTTGCTCCAATAAAAGAGCATTTCAGGCTCCATATTTCTGTGCCTCGGCAATTCCTATTGCCAACAAAATCAACTATGAAAAACAAATACTTTTAGAATGATCAGTTCTGGCAAATTCAAAGGGAATACAAATGTCCTGCTGGGCCCTTTCATTTGCCGTAGCAATCCTGCAGGCAGACCTTCATTACTTCTGTTGACAAGGCATGAGCCAAAAGCAAATTCAAATTGCTCCATTTTCCAGAGCTTTACTGCTTTGGAATGCTAGAATATAAACCCAAAAGTCAGCCAGTTGCTGTTCTTAATTCACCCAAAGAGCCCATCCAGCCAACGAGGTGTCATTTCTCCATACTTTCCCAACAAACCATCTCCCTGAAAATCTGATAGCATGTCCTGCTTTACAAAGTTCTTTCTCAGTAAACCATTAGCATCAATACCCACCATTTATCTTCACATCAATTACTGTGAATGATTGATCTGTATTGATAATGGAGGCACATTTAGAAAATATTTCCATTTCAAGAGAGTCTTTATGAAAATTGGCTTAAATAGCATGCAAATTTTACAGCTCTGAAAACGGAGTTGTGATTAGACAAAGATTTGTTGGATTATAAAAGTACAAGTGTTTATTATGGCTGGTACTGAGAATAAACAGTTGCCTGCATATGCCAGCTTCTATGGAAATATGTTTTTAAGTTCTAATGTGAGCTGTAAACCAAAGCTACTTCAGTTAAAAAAATTCAATACTTAAACTGTGGGGAGGAGTAGTCAGTGCCAGAGAAAACATTCCCATTTAATAATGTTTGAACATAGAGCTGTGATGCAGTTTGTAGCAAGGCAGTGAGAAAAACCCACAACTAATCCTTCATTGCAGCTGTCTGAACTTTTGGTCGTCTGCCATACTTTGAACAGCGACTTCTTTTTCCCGGTGACTCAAGACTTGAATGACCTAGTGTGGAGAGTTTAAGCTCTATACAATAAAGGAGTTAAGTAAGAAATAGCCAAAGTAAGTTGGGTTGCACACCCCAGCAAATCAGGGGTTTGTATCTTAAGTCCTCTTCAGTGACTAGGAGAAAATATTAAAATAAATAGACACATTTTTATTTATTTATTTTTGGCAAGGAAATATTCAGTGGTTTAGCCATCCATCTCTCCTCCTTCCCCTCTTCTCTCTCCTTAAAGTACTGATGTTATATGGAAATGAAATTCTGTAGAGAGTTTGAATTTTGAAGTTTATAAATGCTAACCTTTCCTGTAGAAAAACTTTCTAAGCTTTCTTTGATTATTTTTAACTTCTTCCCATTGATATATCTCATAACTAGGTATTTTCAGCATCCTGAAGTAACAAATGTGTTTTTTTCCTGATTCTTGTGCAAAGTAATGGAACTTGCTTACTTTCAAGTGGAAATATGGGAGTCAGAGAAGTAATTTTATATAGCTGTTAACTTTAAAGGAAAATTTAAAAAAGGGGCTTTCTGCCTTTGCCCCATTCTCACTATCATTTATCTGAAAAAGGATTAAACACTTAAGTGTTATCCTGAGCTGGTGGAAACCCTGTAGTTTAACAAGTCTAATGATAGTGTAATAATTTCTTATTAAGGGGAATTTTTAGATGGTCATTCAAATTGGTCATCACATATTGTGATCTTCCACAGATATGTATTATGTTTTATCTTTGCACTACAAATTATTTGGTGTAAAAGAAAGGTAAATCATTAAAGAAAATAATCAATCTATGCTGGGTCCAATGCCCATGGCAACAAATCTCCAGCACAATAGGTTTTGAAGTACAGTAAGCAATAAGGCAGTACAACTCAATAACCATATATTGCTAGGACAAGCACAGAAATTGAGGGGATTTCAGCCCGAGAACTTAGAAAACACCTAAAATGCATGAAACTCAGTGTTTCTGTACAAAGGGGAGCAATCTCCTCTTGGTTGTGTGGGTTTGAACATGCAAACACTGCCAGTAGCTGTGATGTCACATCCCACAGTGTCGCTTTTCAGCTTGCTGAAGCGAATTTGTACAGTCTCTGTCCAGACACCGTAGCACAAGGTCTGTATGAAATGGGGGCCAAGTTAATAGGTTAACAAAGAAAAAGAGAGGAAAGGGAGATGATATCCCAGTCTTGACCCCGGTGGGAAAATTCTGACTAGCCTGTTGTAACATGTGGTTTCCCTAGAAGAGAATGCTATGTAACTTTTATCACAGAGTAACAGATCAACGGCTGGATGTCACCATCACAAAAGCACTTCTGGTATTCCCCCCCATTTTTTTCCTCTCCTAATTTCAACATGCCGTTGGCAGTTTCAGCTTTGATTTCTAATTAATTCATCTCCTACTCTATTTTGACCTTATCGTGTTAAGATTTGTATTCATTGTATAATGTGTATATTGTTTGCCATTCCCATTATCTGTGATTAGCCAAGTTTCACACACAGAAGGAAGTCTAAGTCAAATGTATAATTGAAGAGCTGTTTATCCCCGTCTGTTTATTAGTTTTCCCAAACTCCCTGGTAAAGTGAATACTGTGGATACAAACAGATGATGCTGCAAAGGAGGATAAATGTTCTAAAGCAGAACTGGGCTGCCAGTCTAAGCTAAACACATTTTAGCTAATATTTTTAATATCAAGGTGTCTTCTACAAGAATTGTGAAAGTAACAAGGCCTATCATTTCTCCATAAACTTGTGGGCAAACTGGATAACTTACACAAAAACACATGCACACGCTTCCTTTCCTGGTGTTTTTGTAACTTGAGTTTTATTTAAATATCTCCAAAGCATTATGTTAATGTACACTTTCTTCTGGTTCATGAATAACAAATGTTTCTAAGTCTCAAATAAGATCCTTGTACAATTTGTGTTTGTAATTATATTTTGAGTCTCATCTTTACACATTCGGTTCTTGGGACAAATAGAATTGGCTTTTCATTTAGAATGATGCTACATGGAACTGTAACACCTACTTGTACCTTTCAGTTAAGCAATATTTTTAATGGATGTTCCTGTGTTTATTTTTCAGCATATTTCCATGGGATTACAGATGATGTGTTTTGGCTGAGTTAACAGTCTCCATAAAGTTTCTTGGTGTGAAATCCATTGTTGGGTTTTTCTTTTTTAACTGGTTTTAAAAAATAGTTTACAACAGAAATTTGGAGTTATTTCATAGTGTAGAATGCATTAAAAGCATAAAGTCATGCATATGTCAGAGACATATTTACAAATCTATACAGTTTCTGTCATTTTTATTTACTGTGGCTCTTGCCAGGCAACAAGATTTAACTCTTATCCCTCTGGGGTCAAAATCTTCACGATAACCCATAGCCATTGTCTAAAAATGCTTTTTTTTTTTGCTTACCAGCCCTGAGATTGATGGCTGCATGTAAGATGGGCCCAGTTCTGCACTCCATTTCATAAAGCCTACCTTCCATGGAGTTAGAGGCAATTACCACTGCGATTCAAGCCAGAGCATGGAATGAACTCCACCCAGGCACCTTTTCTTGCTCCTTGACTAAGGCTGAATGGCAGATGAATTTATTTCTGACCTGCAGATTATTCACAGTTGCCAGACTTCCTCTTGTTCATTCAGAAATGTAAGGAAGAACTCATACTAAACTCACATGAGCTATGCTAAGGGATTCTAGAAAGCATGTTCCCCTCTCTTCCTGTTTATTTTAAGAACTGTTGGAGACGGAATGTGCTGTTGGAAAAGCCTCAGTGCTTTTACACCAACACCCAGTCTAAAAGCTCAATGCATTTTATCAACTAGATGCAACTTATTTCTTCCCAGGTCTGCTTTATCTTTCAAGCCACAATAAGCAGTATGCAAAAGGGCTGCCCATCTTCCAGAGCAAATGTCCACCCCTCCAGCCAATGCAAGAGCAGAATGGTGAAAAATCAGTCCTTCCACAGAGTTCACATGGCAAAAGTATTACACATGGCTTCAGCTGCCAGAGGTACTAGTGGCTGTGAATTAAAGTTCAGTATATTGGTCAGTCAATATTGTGTTCAGAAAGCAGCCGATTTTATATAAGGTTCCCCTGGAAAGTGCTTTATCCGTGTTTGGCTCTGTAATGAGAGGCTACTCATCATATCACCTACATTCAAAGGTGCTCTGACTCCTCTCCTTCTCATGGTCAAGGAAGAATGGCACTTACAGTATTCTCTGAATTCCAGGGAAACATCATCATTTCTACAGGAAGATTAGTTATAAGAATGGCATTTCTTCACTAAGGCTAAAAGAACACCTTCCAGAAAAGTAGCATAACAATCCAACATTTGTGGCTTGTTAAATTCACAACATTGAAGAAAATGACCTTAGTAATCATTGCAATAGTATCCATTAAAGTCTGGTAGCAAATAGTTTTTCTTTTTAAGACACATCAGATAATAATTTGTTATGGTGGTTTATCCTGACCAGTTTGGGCAGGTTCTAAAAAAGGAACAAACACCAAGTGTGTGGTTGCTCCAAAAAAATCCTTTTTCCATTCTTCCCTCCTTCTTTTCCACTGAGAGCAGACCAAAGACGCCTGACCAGCCCTACCATTACATTATAACCAGGTAACACAGAAATTAATCAATTAATTTATTATTAATAGGAGTAAAATGTAAAAGCGGAACAAATTGAAGATGTACTACTGAGCACACTGTGTCCTGCTGGTGTCTCCAAAAGACCCTTGTGATAAAAATGTACAGATTCTTTAGCTCTGAAAAGTCAAATATGCTAGACTGCAATTTCAAAAGGATGAAATCTTTTCTGTCTTCTATGTTCTTCTAGCATTTTTTCTTCTTCTGCTTTCTGCACTGCTGGATTTTAGCATCCATGAGTCAAGTGATTCTTCTAGCATCAGTATGTTTTTTCTTCTGATCTCTGCCAAAAGGCCCCTGGTTAGACTTTCTGCATTTCGATGTGCTGGTGGTGGTAGTGGTGGTAACAGTGATGTCTGGGCTGACACCTTCCATTTAGTTTATAAACAGAATTCTTCTGCTGCCTTTTTTTGAAAAACCACACTGCCAGAACAGCTGCAACCAGTAACAAGCAGAGAAGAATCACTATTACTGCTATGATAGCGCCTTTACTGGACTTGGGACAATCCTCTCCTTCGCATGGCTCAGAAGTGGGGACGGGCTTTTCTCCAAGGCCCTGGGTGAGATTTTCTTGCTCAGCTAATTCCTGGGATGCTGTGTCAGTAATGATGTCTGGAGCCGGTGCAGTGGTTGCTACTTGTTCTGGGTAGGTAGTTGTGTCTCTTTGTTCTGTGTATGGAGTGTGATCGGAGGGGCTGGTGGTCACAGAGGTTTCTGACAAGGATGTTTTTGAGCTGCTGATGTCGAACAGGATCGTTGTAGTGGGCTCCTGAGTCACAGTTTCCAGAGATGTAGCTGGATGTTCCCACACCGCATCACCATAACCCCTGCTGACACTGAAGTTCTCCAGACCACTCACTGATGTAAGTGGCACTGCTGTCTCTTCAGCCCCTTCATCATCTACCACTGTTGTTGCTGCCACAATCTGTGTCTGACCTTCCTCTGGAGCTGGGCTGCCATTTTCCAATTTTCTTACCTCCACGTGATTTGGCTGGTCAGTTGTGAGGATGATGTCATCTTCTGTTCCCATCGAACCATCAACTTTATCACCCTCTTCATCATCCTCTACCACCTCTTGTGTTACTGGATATCCATCTAACCACGACTCATCAGTGATGGCAACTGCATCCATCGCTGTCTTTGTATCATTAGTTGTGAGAATGGGTCCAATGGGGAAATCCTCACTGTCATAAAACATTTTAGTACCAGGTTCATCATAGACTGTCTTCACACCAATGCGGTTATCACCTTCAGAAAACTGTACTTTAGTGGAATCGTCTGTCTCTTTCTCTGATTCAGGCTCACTGAAAGTTTCTGATGGAAACCAAAACAAGTTTTTTTGGCTGAGGAGAGACACGGGGGACTCAGTTGGTGCCTTGCTTCCTTTTTCAGAAATGTCTGTGTGCTGAGTAACCCCATTGGTACTTCCAGTTCTTCCTTCCTCTGAAGTTTTACTGTAGGAAAGCTGTATTTGCTCCTGCTCAATTTCCTCTCTGCCATTGCCATGGTCATTCTCGGCAACAGGTATTGATCTGTCATCGGGAAAGTTATCTTCATAGTCAATGTGTGCCTCTGTTTCATCTAGAAAAATTTTAAAAAAACCTCATAAGCCAACATTTCATTCTCTGTCAAAGCACGGAGCTAATTTATTACAAGAATCCAAGAAGAAAAGTGCAATGCAAAGTGTCTTCTAGGCAGTATTTTTTATTTTGTGTAACTGTTTATTTGGAAAGAGTATGGTCCTTGAGCTGATACTCAATTTCAAGGTTTTTTTTTTTAAATCACAATAGGTGTCAATGCTAACTGCTAGTGTCTTACCTTTCCAGATTTAAAAATGAATATAAATAACTCAGTGTCTGCAGTTAGAGGACTTCTTTTGCTTATTGTTTTCTCAAACCTTTTCTTTCCCTAGTATGACTCTTTGCAAGATTTGAGGAAAAAATTTCATCCTATTCAAGCAAGAAATGTGTGTGGAGAGAAAGATATAGCAAAAAATTAATCACTTACTAATTGGTAATTTTAAAAAAATACCCCAGACAAAACTAGAAGTTTTAGAGCGACTTCATCCCTTTTGAGCCAGATGATTTTAAAGAATTATGTTCAGTACCTTATGCTCAAGATATCAAGGCACGTTCTTATCAGTTCTTATCAGTATACTGCTTTTCTTCAAGGACTTTGGTGTTACAGTGGTACAATGCCTGGGGCCAGAGCAGTATTTCTTATTCCATAAGAGCTCTTCAGAGCTGACTGAGGCAGACTCCACCACCAAGGCTGACACTGCGTTCTGCTTGTTTTCATCTGAAGAAAGCAAGATGCACCCTGCAAGGCTAGAAAACTCTGTCCCAAACACTTGAAGCCTAACTCCTAGTTAACATGATAATCCTATCTGTCAGTAATCAACTCTCAGGCTTCCAATTTTAAGGAATTAAATATTGCCATGGAGAAAAGAGAAAAAAAAAAAGAACACAGAACAAAATTGGTAAAAAACCCTGAGTGCAGCAGAGGGGTAGATTCATTACAAAAGTTGAGTTTGATTTAGAAATACTCAACAGACCTACCACTGACAGCAAAGTAGACTTGACTCAAAGCAAAAAGCTAAATGTTCTTGAATTTGAATGGAATAGTGCATTGTACTTGAACTTTCTTCCACTATTCTAAAGCCTTAGCTCAGTGAAAAATTTTCCAAACTAGACAGGGTGGTTGATTTTCAGTTCACACAAGTTTTATTCCATAGAAAGTTGATGTAATTTCTGAGATTTATGCTGGCATTAAAAGTCATAAAAAATAGTGCCTTGGGATGTGGAAAATAAACTGAATCATGGTGAGAATTTTTCTTTTTAAGAGGGTGTTTAGTCTTTTATGAAGACAGTGAAGCAATAGACCTGGCATGACATGGGAAACAAGAAATTAATAAGAGAACCTGTTTTACAGATCACTGCATTTGTAAACCCTTATCTTTTTTGCCTTTTTACAGTCAACCAATTTTGAATTACATTTTCATCTGGGGCCCACCTCAATTTCCGCCTGAGTCACATTCTCCTTGGAGACTGCTTCCCAGACTTCTGGCAGAGCCATATTTGGTCTACTCTTAAGAAAGATTAGGAATATTGTCAAACCAGTCTGACCAAAACCACTTAGCAGTGATACAGCTCACACCAGCTCACTTTTTGCCAGAACAGCTTAAGCCAGGTGCCAAAACAGAATGAGCATTAGCAAAAGGTATTTTCCTTGGAACAGCATCTGGGTCTACCAGAAACCAAAGCAGTTATGCTAAGGAAACCCAAATGTGTGTCCCAAATAGCCTGCAGAGAGTTAATGCCTCTGTGAAAGCTATCATGCTGGAGAGCTGGATGTTCTTAGCAGGTCCTCTCCTCTCACAGGAAGTGCCAACAACAGACCTCTCTTCTTCCTGGTCCCAGTGTTGTCATCTGCTTGTGTAATCCTCTAGATCCTCCCCATCCTCTCCAAAGCAAGAAAAAACTTCTGTCTTGTTCGAGGATGATTTAACAGGGAATAAAACTCTTAGAGTGGAAATCTTCCTGGGAGGACTCTCACTTTTCTAATACTATTTCCAATAGTATTTCAGACTTTTGCAAATGTATGGAGGATAACTCTGAATTCCAAGGCACTTTAGCAACATATTCATGAAGCTCTGCATGGCACTCTCCATCACAATGCAGCACTTCTACTAAGTGTCAAACATTAGCCTAACTTTGTCCTTTCTCTTGCTTTCACTTTAGAATTTTTCTGCCTGGCTGGCACTCTCTTTGCATGGAAATGGTGCCTCAAACTATTTTATCCTCTGGTCATCCAGACTCCTGCTAGAAGCTGATATCTGGCATGCCTGCTTCACTAAAGTTCAACATGTCTGAGGAGAGCCCATAGGTGTCTGTGGCATGTACATGAATGGAACATCACAATGTGAGAAGATACTGTTTACCAACCATTATGATCATGGTCCTATTTTTTTAATTGAATCATCACAACAGTCTGTCTTCACCTCTGTGTCTCTTGTAACCTCTATTTTTGCCACTCATTCACTTTCCACACTACGGTGATACAGCTGAGGTTCAAACAGTAATTTTTATGTTGTGGTGAGCAGGCACACACATCTGCAAACAAAAATTACATCCACGTGCTTGTGTTGTTTCCCCCAGACCTATTTTTTAGTTAGCAGTATAAATGGGCAGCTAGTATTCATCTCATGGACTAGTACCTTATGTGTGAATGGATCACTGGTGAATGCTTAACAACTGTAGTAACAAGCTTTTTAGAGATTTTGAAGTTCTTTCCCTTCAGTGTTTCTCCTGCCATGTGGTTTCAGTCCTCTAGGAGAAGGTCCTATGGAGGCACATCAGGAAAAAGCAAGAAAATGCAAGCCCCCAGTCTATCAGAACATATTAAAGGTCTGTTGAGCCATCAATCGAGTCTCCATCAAACATGCTGCCTTTGGGCATGATCCTGCCTGTAGAGAAATGAATTGCTGTTTTCTTAATGCAGAACTGGGGGAAGAAAAAGCCCATTGTAGTCTAAAGAGATCCTGAGATTGGACCTCATTATGCACTGCTCGTCACCACATAAGGGAGTCTTGTTCCCTCTCTCAATCAGATTGTGGCCCAAGTTGTAAAGCTGCTCGAACATCTTTTCATATTCAATCTCCCCTATTTGTAGAGTTTATAGCAGAGACTACAACATAACTAATGTTAGCTTATGGGATGCCAAAATGAAAGCAACTATTGAGCTCTCTAACCATCAAAGGAAATACAGACGCCCTTACTCTGGAGCTTTGATTTATACGATCCTGGATTGACTTACCCAGTAATAATACTCTATTCTTTCTTTCTGGGCCTCAGACCTTCAAATGGGACTTGGACTCAGTATTTGGTGACTCTGTGTTACCATGAAAATCTTTTAAGTCCACCACGATTTTTTGGGGTTAGATTGCACAATTTCTGCACTTCTTTTTGCTCACCTCCTCAGCACTTTCCCGAAATTTCCAGTTCCCTGAATTTTAGTGTTGGTACTGAAGAGCAACAACCAAACTAGATTCAGCTCCACCTCTTATCCAAGAAGTTGTAACCATCATTTATGCATATTTTTAAAACCACTAGCAATTGATTTTAAAGTGATTGCATCTTTCTTTTTACCTAAGTAGGTCTGGTTTTACAAAGAGCCAGCCCTGAAATTAATTTATCCAAGATCAAAATCTTTCTATATTTGGGCATTGTTACATCTTCTGGCAGACTCAAGGATCAGTGAGTTTTAATTCACTGTCTGAGGGATTACTGAGTCTGAAATGAACACATTGCAACAAGAGATACTGAAATGATACACTACCAAAAATGTGAAGCTCAGTTAAAAGGTAATATCCTTTTAATTATCAATTAATCCTTTTTAGGAAGCCTCCAGTCCTATAGAGCTTTCATCTCCTTCAGTTTTTGTTCCTAATGTGAAAACAGTAACCAAACATAGAGACAGGCAAAAACAAAGAGCCTGGTCTTCCATACTCTAGGATCAGTTTAATTTTTCTTCTAGATAGCATATTGGCATCCAAGCTCTATTTTGAGTGCTGCTATTTTGGGCAACCATAAAACACAGTGCATATTTTATGGGTGTATTTTTGGAGTACAGGAAATTGAAACCTGATTCTATATAGACCATCATTATAAATATTTGTACTGTATAAAAACATCTTTAGCCTTAGAATCTCAAAGTAGCTACAGCAAACATTAACAAGACAGCATCTGTCTTTAAGGATGGGAAGGAAAAGAGCATGTTGGCTGATTTGCTTAAGTCATATTTGTGAACTACAGCATCTCAAAGAATTATCCATTTAGTTTGGATCAGGTACACAAATTTCTCTGTAGCCAACCACAGTATGCTAGACAGAAATTGTGCCTTTTGTCTTTTACAATAGCTATAAGAAAGAGGATATTTTTTATTCCAGCAGGAAGCCTGCTAATATGAATAAATAACCCATCAAAATTTTTCAACTTATTCCATTTGGCAGAATCCATTCATGCCAGATCAATACTTTACATTAATCTAATACAACCCCTCAGTGACAGGCCTGAAAAGGGAACCAAAGTTTCTCATAACAATTGTTTTGATTGACCATGGACATATTTGCTGCTGATTATATTTGTCTGTCACAACTCTCCCTTTGCACACACAGAATGAACAAAAAAAAAAAAAAAGCATTCTCAAATCAGATCAAAAGCCAGAGACCTTTTGTTTGATTCCCCACATTAAAAATAAAAAACTAAAAAGAAATGGTGCTAACTAATTGTGCTTACAGAATGTGCACACATGAATGTGAACCAATATAATTCTTGAAAACTCCAGAAGTAATGTTTGAAGTAATGAGAATTGTTGAGCCAGGCAACAAGCTTGGTAGCTGCAGATTAAGTGGTCAAAGTCAGCCAAGTCCTCCTTACGCTGGCATATGAAGGGTGGTCCTCACCTTGGAACACATCCAGGTGTTGTCATTGGAAAGATTCCTTAGATGTGTAGAAGATATGGACTCTACTGCCGCAAGCATATAGCTGGAAAAACCCAAATAATCCAGGGAAAAGATAGATACATGACATTCTTCTGAGCCAGTTTTAGGGCAGAGATGGAACATGATTTCCCAGCCATCTCATCTGCCTTCTCTTTGAGGGAGCAAACCCTAGAGAATGCAGCCTAATGCAGTCCAGCCCTGACCCCTGCCACTGAAGTGTTGGTATTGATGCTTCTGATATTGAGATCATGGTTTATTTTGGGAAAAAAAAAAAACCCAAATGTCATTTAGTAATTGTCAGTTTAGTCCCTGTGCTTACAGGACAGCCACAGTATGGAACATATGCATCTGCTTTCAGACCTTACTACAATGTCTTTCTGGATATATTTTGTGAAGCAAATACATTCTCTCCACAGAAATAAAAAAAAAAAATAAACGGCAAAATCCATGTATTTCCCTGTTCTCTCCTTAAGGTTGCTTTGTTGGGCTAAATATCCCTGTGCTTTCAACTAGAACACAGTGCCTTTTCATGACAAGGAATTACAGGAAACAGAGTCACATTTTTTCTTTAAAAGCATATTAATTAAAAATTACTGTCTATTACCTGGTGTGCACAATGTACATTGCAGCCATTTGTAATGTACTGCTTTCCTAATTTCCATCATACTTTACTGTATCCAGAATCCACTTGAATTTCCATCTTACTTTACTGCATCTGAAATCCACTTAATGCAAGTCCAAAATTATTTTGTTCAGTTATGCCAGGTTTTGCCATGTATTTTGCATTAGGTGCCTATTTGATTATATATGTATTTTTTAAATTTTAATTTTCAAATCTACTGACTGTATGGCTGTACATTTATATCCCAGGTGCACTTATATTCCAGGTGCCAGAATGGACTGTATCTCTTCTTACTGGATCAAAACAGAGAGGAAAGATGATCACAAAGAGACTTCAAAGAACATTTAACTGCTATATTTAGACACTTCTATGGTGATAGTTCTGTGACTCCATATTTGCTCTGCGTGAGCAACTGGGAATGTAAAGCCAGTCTGATGCTTTTCCACAAACAAGAAAAACATGTAATTATTGCTTTCAGTCTGATATTCTGCCTGGACAGCTGGGTATTATAATGGGGCAGTTACCAAGTAGAACAATGGTACTCAAGGTGCAACATCCACAAATCCCAGCAAGCTTTATGAAATTGGATAAATGTCATCACTCTTCCACAGAGGAGGTGGAGTAAACAGCAAAGAGCAGTGCAGTGACTTGTCCCTAGGCTCAGAGACACTGCAAGGTGTAGGAACAGGCCTTATAGCTCTCAGTGCTCTGACCAAGGCTTTGTCCCCGTGGCCCCCTTTTGTTGAAGTAAGAACATCGGGACCATTTTACATTTCCCAGTTGCTCACCCAGCGCAGATGCAGAGCAAGGGCACTGTATCATCTTACCAGGCTCTAAACATAGCGCTTAAATGTTCACTGAAGTGGCTGCACAAACATCTTTCCATTGATGTCAGCCAGTTAGGACAGAAGTGCTCCAGTCTGCCAACTGGAATATAAATTCTCCCATCATTAAGTCCCGTCATTAACCTTCATGATAGGGAAGGTGCTCTCTTGCCTCAAAGGACTTAAAAATCAGTCTGTGTGCTGACTTCTGGAGTACTTAATAATTGTTCTCCTCTCACCTATGACCCCAAAATATCAGTCAACTCTAAATCAGGTTCCTTTTAATTAAATTATCTTTTTTTTTGTTTTTCTTTTTCATTGGATTCTTACTTTTTAAAAAATAATGAAACCTAGTATCACACATTTTAATCATCCTGTCAAGTCTTCTTTTTTAAAGAATTATGATCAGGAGGATTAAATACATAATTATTACTTGAACAATTATTGTGTTTTCTGTCCCATGTCCTTAAAGCATTTGAAAAACAGTAATCAGAGGAAGCCACCCAGCATGAAGTCTACATTTAAATAATTTAAAAAATTATAATCCACAATATCACATCTGCTGCCAAGTTTCAGTGTTGATGTTTGTGATTTTACAGCCATGTTTTCCTATTTTTTTAAAAAATATTTTCCTCTCCCCTGCAGCTGTGTGAAAGGCTTGGGCAAAACAGGAGAAATAGACTATTTATCCAGAGAAAACAGTGAAACACAGACAACTTAAATGGCCTGATTCTTTCCCTTCCTTATTTTGGTGGAATACAGCCTTATGTCTGTGTGTGATGAAGACAGCATTTCCACTAACCTCAGTAAAGAAAAAACAATTATCGATTTGGTGCAGATTATAGGAGGTTCAGTCCCATTGGGTAAGCTGAAGATGTCCCTGCTTATTGTAGGGGGGTTGGACCTTAAAGGTTCTTTCCAACCCAAACTGTTCTATGATCAGATGCAGATACTTGTTTTTCTCCTTTTTCCCTCCGCATTGTTCCTCTATGCTCTACTCTGTTTTGCATAATCATCTGAACTGCTGTTTGTAAAACAGTTTTAGAAGCTGAAAGAGCTCAGAAAAATGCTGGTGCTTTCATTCTTTTTTTTTTTTTTTTTTTTTTTTTTTTGTGTATCTATACTGGTTGGATGGTTTGAGAATCTGGTTCCCTGGTGCGCAGACATGACCTATTTCTGCTAAGAACAAGTTTGACCTTTTCTCATGATTATCCACTGCCTGATGGTATATTCACAAAAATAAACTCCTTGCAAGTCTCCAGACATTAAGTAATATATAGGTTCTGAAATGGATATACTAACTCCAGCCCATATAGATAGCTTAGATACCCAACAGCTGCTCATTCCTTTGCTTAAAATTTATCTGTTTTACCAGAAACCTTACTTTAAACATGCCTTCTCGAAAAAATGCTAAAATTTTCTGATTACCATTCTTAAATACTGGGGAAAATGGTGGGTTTATGCATTGAGCAAAGTAACATGAGAAAGCAGAATTCAGGTTGCATCCACATCTGAACTCATGGTACTGTTTAGCCTATGTTTAAACAAGAGGAAAGTTAAAAGACTGCTGTAGAATTTAACTAACACATAAAGGTGGTTTTTATTGAGGGTTTAAATTAAGGAAATGTCATTTTACAATTTGCTTGGGGGTTTTGTGGTTTGGGGGGTTTTTTTTGAAAAATCTTTTCTTGAGTTAAGTCAAGAAAGTAAGAAAATCCACTCCATTTTTTTAATGGAGTAAAAATCTGGTCAACTACTCTCGTGTTTGCAGACAAAAATCCTGAAGGCATGGTGCAAGATAAAAATTGTTTAGCTATTTATTGGGGCAAATTTTAAAAAAATCATAGAGTTTTTTTGTCTGAGCTGACCTTTGACACAGGCCTGGACCTGGCCATACCACTCCCCGCAGCTGTCGCAGAGCAGCGTGAACGCCGTCTCCTTGTTGCCCATGACGTAGCCTGGGGCACAGACGTACAGCAGCTCGTCCCCCATTTCAAAGCCAGTGTGGCCGTGCAGGATGGTGTGGGGGAAGGATGGCGGGTCCCCACAGGGCTTGTCTGGGAGGAAAAAAGAGATGACATTGTAAGACTTCTCAGTAGTCTTTTAGTACAATGCTAAGAGCAGTGCTAGGAGTTTTCCTGAGGATAAACTTATGCACGTCCACAGAAGCTGTACATCTCATCTGTTTCATGCCCTTTCACGATTATTTCCAGCTGTAATTGCCCATTACAGTTGGAAAGTATAAATTGGGCTATAACTGTGATGCCACTGCCGTGATGTTATTGACGTCTGACAGTTGTGTATCTAGAAGGGCTTTGTTTCAAACAAGGCAGGATGCCAGATCACAGTTGTCTTCCCTGCCTGATTCTACAAAAGCTAACAAGAGCTTGGGCAGGTTGGGGCTGGAATCCAACAACTTGGACACAGTCATTTTTCTTAACTCCAGAAATGCTTGTGGAATTTTTTAAGACTGGCACTTTGATCTCTTCTACACAGCAGAGGCTGAGCAATGGCCCAGTCCACACACACAGAAAGAAGAGGTCCAGGTGAACACCAGTCAGTTTTCAGACTATCTCTAATCTTCTAATCTTTCTCAAATCAGGCGTGTCCCCAGATATTCAAATCTCTGTTTTCAGGGTAAAGACACCCTAAAATAAATGGTGACTTGGGCTCATCAGCTTAAAAATACCCTGGGTAACATATCTCTGCTGTCTATGAGAATCTGAAGAGCTAAATTTGCAGCAGGGTATAAAACTCAAAAAGATGTTTGATAGTGTTTTTGCTGACAGCATTAGAAGCCAGGAAGAAAAGTTATTATGAACGAGATCAAAACTGGTGTTTGTTGCATTAAAGAAGTGTGGAGAGGAGGCAGGCTGACAGCTGACAGCTGCCACCACCAGTGTAAACTGAATTTTAACTCTCTTTTTCAGATTTGAATGATCTTGGCCATTGTTAACAAGGTAGATCAAGATTTTCTAGAGAACTTTCCTTTCTGAAAAGAGCTCTTCACAAGGTTTGCTGTGTCCCTTTTCCTCCATGTGTTTTACAGTCCTTTTTGGAATAGGTGTCTCTTGGTTACAGAAAAACAAAACAAATAAAAAAATAGAATGGAAGATGGATTTTACCAAGAAACCCAAGGGCAAAGGCTGCAGTGTTGGTACAAATTATCACTTCTATACTCTTTCTCAAATCTGTGAATTTTTTCCAGTAGTTCTAGAACCCTTATTGACTATGTTAGAAAAAACCAGCTGTTTGTCTTGCCAAAGTAACTGAAGATCCAAAACCTTCTTTTGTCCAGATAGAGAACAACCAAAATTAAAAGGCTCACGAGTTCTGGTAATTATATTGGATAAGGGAAACACGGGGCTAGGTCTATGTTTTAGTATGGATCTCTCCTGTTGAAATAATGAGCTTTAGTACAAAAACTTGATTGCTTAGCTGGTAAAGCAAAGATGATGTCTCTTGAAAAGACTTTTGTTTGGAAGCTGAAAAGACTCCAAGACTATGTTTCTAGACATGCAGAAGGAGAAACATCTTCAAAGAGCACCCTTGCTATTTTGCTAGAGTCTACTTGTAGGGCATCATCACCACAAGGTCTTGCAAGCAACAGTTTCATTAACACCAGTTCATGTCCGGGTTTTTCAATGGGCAACAGGCTTGACAGAAAAGCCTTTTCAATCTCACCTCTGCAAAAACTCAGGCTTTCCTGCTTTTGCCCAGGGACATTCTGCAAAACACTTGTGAGTCTCAGGCTGCAGCTTTTCCCATCATCTACCCACTTCTGACTCAGGCATAGGTAAACACATGCTTATTTAGAAATATGTTGTATTTATTTTGCCAGTCATTTACCTTGTAGTGAAATGAAAATCCTATGATAAACATCCACACTCTGTGAACGTTCCTTTGGATCAGGCTTTTGGAAATCGTCTGATAGACCTGACTAACCACTTCTCAACCGGGTATGCTGAAAAATATCTGCCACTAATGTAAGAGACATGCTACTGAAGTCAAACTTTGAAGCCTGTTCTCTGTACTGTACACTATATATATATATATATATACTGTCTAACACCTTCAGAAGTTAGTGGGAGTTATGCACACACACACACTGACAGAAAAAACAAGCTTTTGAGGCTACACAAAGATCAGTTTATATAGAATCTTATGGAGGTTTGACATCTGAGGAAGTGAGGAGCAGTTAGCAGCTAATGCTTTTCCTGTGAACTGGCCGGATAAATGGAGATTGATGTGGATGAAAGGTAAAAAAAATTATTTTATTGCCTCATAGGAAGGCTACAGAGCCTTGCATTTCATGTACTTTATTTATGTAGCTACTTCCATCCATACAAATGGGAGCTGTGTATCTGTTCTGTGGGAAGTATTGATCCCAAGGCGGTATGGAACAGTTATACATCAGAGAGTATTCTTATCTACAAAGCCTTGCTTCTTAATCCTGTTGCCAGAGGAAGCAGAAGAGCAAAACATTAGTTGACTATGGCAAACGCATTCAAAAAGCACATTATAACCTTCCAGGAAAGAAGAAAACTGAAGGGATCTTTACAGTAAAATTTGACAACAGACTCGGTAACAGAATTATGAACCCCTGAAAGAGCGATCTGGCTGATGCATGAGCAAAAAGAAAAGCAGAGATTTTAAAGATGTACATTGACTGACACTGTATGGGGAACTCTTGACCCTCTCACATGAGACTTTGTAAGGTCATGATTTTTCTGCATGGATACTGTCATACTGAGTGACAGCATGGACAAGCGTAAGTGAAAGCTGATACACTGCAAAGACAAACTCCAGTTCCTACATCCATTTTGTTGATGTCCTCTCCTGCAAAAAATGTACGGGAATTTTCCAGGTTACAGCATCTTATGGCTCCTCATCCTGCTGCAGTCTCAGTTGCTATGACAATTCCTGCTCACCCTTTTGCCAAACCTGCTCTTTCTGGCACACGTACAGAAGTGACACTGGCACAGCAACTCATCAAACTGAGCCACTTCTGGGGACAGGCTTCATGTTTTTGTGTGCAGCCTTTGCACCAGGAGCTGGAGGAGCATGGGCTTATTTGGAACAACAGTCTGTGCTCAGTGCTGGCATTCAGGCCATTTTCTTGCTGGAAGAGAGGAGGCAGATCTGGGCCATGGAGCATGACAGAGGGTGTGTTGGCAGCAGCTTGTCATGTGGAGGAACAGTAGTGCTCTTTGTTAAGGTGACCACAGGGGCTGCCTGCAGTGGTGCTCTTGGGTAGATGAGGGCTGGGCTCCTCCATCCATCTGGAGTACTGATTTTTACCTCATCTATCCTCCCATAAACCTACATATTTTCTTGCTTCTGGCTGAAAAATTAGCCCAACTCATGGTTCCCAGTAAAAAAGCTGGATCTTCTTGATACCGAAGAGCCATCCAGCAGAACATCAAGAAGGTCCCATGTTCTGCCTGCTTATGTCCAAGATCATATCTTAAACTTGAACACTTGAAATTGGTTTCTGGACATCATGACCCTTCCAGTATTTTCAACATGTTGGCACTGAGGTCAAACACATAACAGGCCTCCATATGTTGATAACTGACCTCCAGTAAGAGAGGGTGGATTGAGTTTCAGATCAAGTCAGCATAGCACAGATATAAGGAAATTTGTTAAAGTTCACAGGACATCCTCATGTCAGCAGTAATTTGGCACAGATTGTGTCCTGGAGTGAGAGTCACCACTACAGTCAAGAAAGATCTTAATATGCACATGCAGAAATCAGAACAGAGTCAACATCTGGTAAATGCATGGGAATAAGTGGCACAGCAAAGATATATATGGGTGTTGAGCACAGATATGTTAGGGCTAGTGACAGCTGTGGTTACAGACATCTTAGAGACTCAGTAACTATTTTTTACATGGGACTAAAGAGATCTCCTGTTAATTGAGTTAGCACATTCAGTCCTGATTGGTTTTTAGGAAAAATATCTCCTCAGAATAGTAACTTTAACCACAGAACACATGTGGAAAGGATTTTATGACAGGTGATTTCTGCAAAGAGTTGGCACATGTCACTTTAAGAACACAGCAATTCTCGTCCCCAGTCCAGATTACACCAGAAGCATCTCCTTTATTTGAACTATAAGCATCCCACTAGTCTGTAAAGACTTTTTTTTGAGATGTCTTGATAAAACACTGTCTACAGAAAGGATAGCCTAAGATCAATGCAAAAAATCAACGCGAAGGAGATGCAGACTTCAGCTTCCACACCACCTGAATTTACTGAATTTACTGAAATCTGATTATCTACCATTGTTGCTTTATCTGTGCACCACACTCTGAAAGCTGACATGAGACGTCCACTTTGAAATAAAATATCTCCTATTCCAACCATCCAGTTCAGTGATGTTTTTCCAGAGAGGACACTGGAATTTTTAGGATGTCATCTTGTCATTAAGAAATTAGAAAATGCAACTCTTAATGGCCAGACCTGTGAATGAGATGAGTGAGGATGTTTGTATTGCTTCTTGATTGCAGAGACCCTAAAGTAGATGGAATTTTTCTGTTTGGATAGAAGTACTGAGTATGAAGAATCAAAACTCAATTATGGCCAATGTGAATGTTGCCTGTAAGCTACCAGTGCTAGGATGCCAACGCCTCTCCCATCAGACAAGGCCTGTGGGACTTTATTAGTGTAATTTACATCACCAGAGAAGTGGGAATTAACTGTCAGCTCTATGCAAAGCCATGAAAAATAAAGCTGTAGCACTAAAAAAATTTCTATCTACAACAAAGCATGACAAATACAAAGTAGTTCAAATATTACAAAAAGCAAACTGCATTTTGATTGCTCTTTTAAAGCACACTCAGTAAATTTGCTGTAAAGAATACACTGATTTCTTTTTTTCTTACTGCTTAAAAAGGCTAACTAAAATATGTACATAAGCCATCAAGCTTTGATGGATATCTGGAGCCAGCAGTCATGTTTAAAAAAGTTTGATTTGCATTTATGCTGTACTCTACTACAAGTTGCTGCCTGTTTAGTTTTCCTGTGGTGGCTGCAAATCAAAGCCTTATGGAACAGATCTTATTTGTTGCCTGTAAATAACAGTGGGTCACTGAAAGAAAGAACCAGTAAAACCTGGGGGTTATTAACAAAGAGATCTTTCCTTTGCTGCAATAAAAAATAAGAAAGAAAACCAAGAGGATTTTATATATATATATATATATAAAATCCTCTTGGTTTTCTTTCTTATTTTTTATTGCAGCAAAGGAAAGATCTCTTTGTTAATAACCCCCAGGTTTTACTGGTTCTTTCTTTCAGTGACCCACTGTTATTTATATATGGAATTGAATAATATGGGCTATTACAAAAAAAAAAAATAAGGCAGGAAAAATTCCAGCTTTCTGGTTTTCTTGCTTTACCTACTTTATACTTTTAAGGAATTTTCTTATGAACTCTGATAGAGATACACACTCTGTGTGCCAGACCTAACTTATGTGTGATACTGCATTTTCAGAACTGGCAGAATCTAATGTATTTTTAGATATTTTTTTGGCACTGAGGGCCTAAAAGGGAAGTGTTCTGAACTCAGCAGATCCTGAGCTGGTACAGAGTTGTCTTGCTGACTTTAATGGCTGCATAAAACATGTGTTTATGAGAAGCTGAGAAGACGCATTTCTCTGTACTGTGAAAACTGCAGCTATACTCAGAGCACTCATAAAACATTACAGCTACATCTTTCCTTGTCAAACAGAACCCTTAGGATCAATTCCCCGTAAAAGACAACTCTTAGTCTCAACAATTGCTGTGATTCTTCTGTGTGTACAGATCAAAATTCATTTCAGAAACAAACCAAAAAACTGTCTCTCTCTTCAGGACTTCTGTTTGCGAAAGCCTGATGCTGTAAGCACACCCAGAGCTCTTGCTAGCATCTGACTTCTGCCCTGGTGTAGTGGTGTGCTGAGATGTGTGCTTAAGGAATTTGACTCCACTCATTTGCATGATAAAGGTTAATTGAGTGAAAAATAGTTATAAATCAAGGGACAAGAAGTCAATTTGGTTTGTACTAGAACTTTCATGGTGTTTCGAGATGCATTCTGCACAGTCCTAGGAACTGAAGGTAGAGTTGCAAGGAATTACTAATGTCAGCTTGGTTTCTGAAGTAGAGGTTGATGTGACTGTTCCCTCTGTCTGTTTTCAACCTACCAGTCTGTCTGAACCTTTGGCTCTTCTCAGCCAAATCTGACAAAGAAGGAAAGCTGCTGTCTGCTCATTATTATCTGGATGGATATAAAAGAAATGAAAGGGCTTGAAGAAATTAATATAGTTCTCAGTGTAAGAAACCTGGAATTTATCACATTCAGCAGGACAAAACAACTTGCCTCTTGCACTTAACTATAAAGTATTACTAAATAATAATTGCAAAAGTATAAAAGCGATGTCCACTTTTCTAAGACTAAAAAAATATTCATGAGGTTTTAAGAAGAAACAACTTATTAATCCAAACTTAGATGTGTAGTTATTAGCCACATGTACATAAGATCAGAACAGATATGCTGTGTGTGAGGTTGTGGTGCAGGGTTTACTCTTGCTGTTTCTTACTGGATATTTGCTAAAACTGGAAGTGGCATCCCTGAGGATATTCTTTCATCAGTCAACAGCTCTGGGCTGGCTTGTGTGTTACTGTTGCAATGTTAAGGCCGTTTCCTTTCCGGACTTTGCTCTTCTCATACCAGCTACAAACCAGGCTCTGCCACACAAATTCACTTATATCTTTCTGTTCAAACATCAGCTCTGCATCCCAATTTTTTAATATATTTAAGGAAGAGGGAACATTAGAGTCATCCAGAAATGTTTCTGTGTGTAAGGGCTACTTGAGAGCATTGGGATGATTATCTCTTTCTGTCATCAGAAAATTCCCTGCCTTGTATAAAACAAATTCTTCATAATTTGTGCCTTCTTTACAAAAGATCTGAATTCCCCCAGAGTTTAAAGCATGCAGTTTCTGAGTCCCATGTAGTACTCTTTTCCAGCATAGCCTTGTCTGATTGCATTCTTGCCTGCCCCTTTACCGTGAGCAGTAGCCAAACCAAAAGGTAAACACAGCTCCTTTTCCAAGATGCAACATCCTGGGTGGAGAGCAGGTGGGGACACATAGGGGAGCACAAGGGCACAATGGAACAATAGTGGCCAGAGCAATGATTTCAGCATCTCACAGCTGTCCCAACCCACTGCAAGGTTTTTCTCGAGGCGGGGGGATGATGACAAAAGAGATTTGAAGGAAGACAATGAGAGAGTTTTGCAGATGTTTACAGGGAAATGGTCCTGTGTGTGAGGAGCAGCATGGAGAAAGCACAAAGGTGCTTGTGTGACCACATTAGCAACTGGGTGACAGAGTTGGCATCGCTCACAGCAGCACGGAGCCTGGAGTTGATATGACAAGGGTTACTTGAGAGGATGGTCAAACTCTGCTAAAATCATTCTTTCTAAAAAGAACAATTTGGTATACATCAAATCAAAATGCATCACCTCCGCAACATTTCACTTCAACCATGTCTTCATCCCCACTCCTGTCACTGACAGTTGATCAGAATGACCCCCTTGTGCTGTGAACTTACTGTTTCTCAGTGAATGCCATCAGCTTACCCTAACTTTTCTTGGAAATCAGATACAAAAACTCACTGTGGATATCAACAATCTGTTTCAGGGGTTCTCAAATTTCTTTACGCAATCCTGCCTATCAGTAACAATTTACTTTTTGCCTCCAGAATTCATCTTTGTTTGTGGGTTCTGGAACTTAGATATTGAAAAATTTAAGCACAAATCTACATTGGAAATAATTTGGTTTTCAGAACCATCTGGGATATATCAGCATCCCTAGCAGCCTTGTCTACACTTGTTAAAAAATCACCAAAACCAAATCAAATTGAAACTAAAATGGAGCCAATGAAGTTATTTGCATACAAATGTTGCATACTGACAGATATACAACAGGGTGGTGTGTTGTAGCTGGAAACCAGCTTGCTGAGTTACAGTCAGCTACAGTGCTGAGTAAGGGACATGCTTCAGCCATCTCCATTAGATTGGTGCCAGATATATTCCTTTCCATAAAGTATGTTCTGTGAGCACCAAAATGGGTTCTGCCAGATCAGTAGTGCTGTTTGAACTCACTAAACTGCAGCAAAGACAAAAGACAATACAATTTATTTGCTGCAACCAATGTCTGTGCAGCAGTTGGCTCTTGTAGTGGGCGATTACTACAAAGATTTATCCTTTAACATTCCCCCTTTCTCTCTCAGCAGCAGAAAAATTGAAGGCAAAACTTTTAATGTTGCAAGACAGTGATGACTCTGTGTTATTTCAGAAGTATATCAGTGCTGACCTTCATCCTTTACACAAAAAGCATCATATTGGTCATTCACAAAGGGATCGGTTTCAATTTTAACATCAATGGCTTTCACGCTCTGCTGTTTGCTGCCCGTCTTTCTGCATATAATTGTCCTAAAATAAAGAAGAAGAAGAAAAAAATAATCAGAAATCTTCTGGAGTTGTACATGCAGGTGAAATTTGGAGATTTTTTTATCAGAGTAGTCAGACTTTAGCCTTAGCTGTTTCAGCATTGGCATGTAAAGCAGTAGTGTAGGAAGATCTATGAAAAAAAAGCCAAGGGAGAAAGAGAAGTAATTAGAAAAATGTTTGCTGTAGATCAGTTCAAGGCATAGGGAGCAATAAAGGATGTTTATCTTATTATGTTCTGTAATACCTCTAAATATCAGACCTATACCCAGAGTAATTAAGTCAATATTTTGCTCTCACAGTTCAGCAAATGGCACCTGGATAGAAATGAATACAAAACTCAAGACTTGATCTGAAATTTTATAAATAATTAGTATTTACATTAAAGAGCCATTAAGGCTGTATATTTAACTGCTCAAAAGCTACCACGGGCAAACTTAGAAAATTCAGCTTGGGTTCTTGGAAGAAAAACAGCTTTTCTTTTTTTTTTTTTTAATAGCAATTTCACACTTTTGAGTAAACTCCATTTCTTCTGGTTTGGTACTCAGCAGTACCTAATCCGTCCTGTTGCCCTGATAGGCTTAACAAAGGCGTTAGATCTGTATTGGGTTTTACAATCTTGTAGATGGTGATGATGAAGAGTTTACTAATTATCTCTTCTCTCAGCTGTACTGGGTGCTTAAAATTAGCAAATGGAAGAGAGTTTGTTGTAGAAAACATTGGTTTTACTGTTAGATTGAAGGTTACAAAGGCTGGGAAAGTCACTTCAGAGCAAATTTTTGCAGCTAGATATTAATGATGTGGGTTTATACTTTTGTGGACAGCAAGTGTTACACGGTCAGCTATTCTAGTGAAAGGAAGATAAAAACACTTTACACACTGCAGGAAAACCTTCCAGTGCAGGAAATGTATCATTTTGTATTGTGCAATGGTTGAACTAATGTGCCCTCAGTCCTCCACTAAATCTGAGGAATAAAATAAGATAAAATCCAATAATACAAAAAACCCCAAAATAAAGTAAATAAAATTCCCATTCATTGATGGTGAAAAAGATCCAGTGGAAACCCAGTGCACTTAAATGCTATATATAATGATTTACAGAAATAGGCTGAATTATGGTTGTACAGACTATTTTCATTTGGGCATGTGTTAGCTTTTGAGTAGTTACATATTTAACTTTAATGTTCTTTGAATATAAACAAACAAAAGCAACATGAAACGAGCCGTATGGAGGTGGTCACGCATATGCATCAGAACGGTTCCTGCCACACTTCTCCTCTGGAAAACAACATGATGTCATTCCCTGCTGAAAACCCCTTTATGATTTAAAACCAAATTTATTTCCTTTGTAAAGAAAGCTCCACTAGATTTTTTGAGGGGATAAAAAAATCCCTTCAAAAAAGTCCCTTTTTAAGAACAATATTGCCCCCACAAGTTTTAAATCCAGTTCTCTCAGAATTTAATGTATTTAAAGTCTGAGACCTCTAAGTCAGTAATTAAGCACTTAGGCAAAAACAACTTGATCTGCCAAAATGAGTTCAGATGACTGGGAGGATCAGGACATCAATTAGAAATTTTCTATATGTATGTAATATTCACATATTGTTCCACTGGGTCTTACAAGGTCTGAGAGAATGAGACACTTATGCTTCCCTTCACAAATTAACTCATCAACCTTAATCTTTCCAATAATTACTCAGTTGCTTAGATATCTGAATCAGTTGTGTCTTGCAGCACTAAGTAGACAGATAATGATATGACTGCAAAAAATGTGCTTTTCATATTTTTGTAATTTTGTACCTTAAGCTTCAGGCTCTCTCTCTCTCAAAAAAAAAAAAAAAAAACAAAAAAAAAAAAAAAAAAAAAAACCCCAAAAAAAAACACCCAAAAAACCCAAAAAAACCCCAAAAAAAAAAAAAAAAAAAACCCCCAAAAAAAAAACCCCCAAAAAAACCAAAAAAACCCCCAAAAAAAAAAAAAAAAAAAAAAAAAAAAAAAAAAAAAAAAAAAAAAAAAAAACAAAAACCAACTAAATTCCATTTTCTATGTTTATCTATTTTGCTTCTGCCCAAAACACTGTAATTTCTTTATCAGTTCTTCATCAGGCTACAAAGTTATCTGTGGGTGCCACATCCTTGTTACAATGAGGTAATCACCAAAACAGGCTACCTGGCTCATGAGTAATACCTGGTATTTAAAGTGCTAGTTTTTCTCACCTTTTTTTTTCAAATATTGTACAGTAAATTACAAGTTTGTAGTTGATAGATTTTAGCAATTAGCTAATTCATTTTAAGAACCTGTCTCAGGTGCTATCCAGTGTGACAAACTTACAAAGGTGTACCTTGCATATAGTTTCAACATTATACATAAAGAAAAGCTTTAAATTAAGATCTTTTACATGTATTTACATGTATCTGCTACTTAGGACTTTAATTTGGATTTTTGTCATATTAAAATTTATCTGATTAAAACTGCAAGCACCCTAATGCAATTCTTCTGAAATGAAAGAAATCTTGCCTTGTACATAAGACACAGTCAATGATTGGACTTGATTATCTCAGATGTGTTTTCATACCTTAATGATTCTGTGATTCTAAAAAACAGAAGAAAGAAAATATCTGTTTAACGCCTTTCATTTCTTCTTCTCTGACAGTAGTTTCTTGCCTCAAGCTCAGTCCTGCAAACTTTAAACACCTTCAGTAAGCTGTTATTGCTGCTGCTGAGCTTCAAGTGTGCTCAGCATTTCTCAGTAGCGAGTCAATCAGACCTGCAATGCCCATGGCATAGAAATAGTCTCCTTGCAGTCAGTAGGATTCCAGGTATGACTAAAAATGCACATTAATAGTCTATTTTCTGAGTTCTTGAGGGTTGCCCTAAATCCTAAAATGCTAGCTTTTAATCTATAGTTAGAGCTGAAATACACAGGTACACTTTTGTCACAGTTCTAAAAGGTTGAGTGTGAAGCTTTTAAGTTTGTTACAATTTTCATGACTGAAAAATGGCTACCAATTCAGAATTCATCATACCTTAAAATTTCTTCAGCAGCAGCACAGCTGTGCCGAAATAAGAGACGAAAAAATTGTACAGCAGTTCTAATTTTCCCAGCACCCTGCTGAGAGGTGTTGCTGCCTAGTTTGTTTCTTGTCTGTTTTCAACTATTGCCCTGGGGCATGTATCATGGCTGAGAGAATGTCACAAACTTTGTACTTTTTAAGGGATACATCCACCTACACAGCCATTCAGAAGAATGCAGTCATGTACGTTTAATTCTATTTATGGATAATTTCATGCATTAATTGAACTTAAGCTCATTTCTCAGCATACAATGTCATCTGATGCTCAGAGCAGTGTAATGCTTGATTTTGTGCCTTTTAGTTAAGAAACAGATTTGATTTCGTTTTCCTTCTGTGGAGATTTCTGATGAAGGCAGATGTGCTCAGAAGAAACATACTGACAGCGTATCACCCATAACACTTGTCTGTGGTCCACATCTGTCTGAAACATCTGTGCATCCCTGAAAATTACTCTTACATGGCCATAAACCCACAATCTCAGCATAAAAATCAATCAGAAACACTATCACCATAGACCATGAAAGTACCACATATCATCCAGTAAGATAAAGATGTGGTTAGTGGTGTTGACAGCAGCCCCTGCTCTCTGATGAAAAGTTGGAAGGTGCCTAAAGATGTCTCCTTTGTTTCCTTGACAAGATACTGAGAATCTTCTTAGTCTACTGCTACCCAGCTTGGAAGGACAAACTGCTTCACGATGCCTCTTCTTCTGTACTGTGTTGAACCTGAGCTTAACTCCTGCTGTACAACGTGATTCATCCAACTAAGAATGATTAACAGTCCTTTTTCTGTACCCACCTTGGAAAAAGATCAGAGCTTGGCCAATCTGATCATTGTTTTCCTGTGCCATGACTCAGACATTGCAGATATCATGTGCACACACACGGAGAAATTCTAATATGCGGCACAGTAAGGTATGAACCAGACTTCCCAGAAGCCTTCTGCTTACTCTTGTGCTGCTTAAATCTTTTTCTGATGTATTATGTAATGAATGAGTAACTGGTATATTTTGCCCCACTTTCAAAGATGGAAATAGCAAAAAAGCTGGCATGAATAGTACTTATTTTACAATATGTCATAATATGCCACAATATAATACATATTAATAAATATATGATAATTGTAGGCCTGAACTGTTGTGATTATAGTTAATGTCATAAATTTTATGTATGTATAATAAATGAATTTTTAATAAAGATCTACTATTTTAATGTAAATGATAACTTTTTTAATAGTAGTGTCCACTGATAATTTTGCTTTCTAAGAAAATTACAAGGCAATGTTGTAATATTGAAAAGGTTTCAGTGAGCCCAGGTTAAAACATATGGATTTGACAGCTGAGTTGATATGATAAAGCGTGATCCATCAGCACAGAAAACAGTAGGTGGGACATTTTTTGTAGTTGCTACTTTATCCACCAGTTGATTTTAGGTTTTGTAGTCTTAGTCAATAAATTCACTGAACTGAGTCAGAATGGTCTTATGACATTGATTCATAGTAGTATGAGCTTGCAATATATTCAGCTCAGAAGAACATCAGGAACAGTGTGTTTGTTGAGGCACTGTGAAAGTCTGGTTGATAACACACTCTAAGAAAGTTTCCCCTAGTTAGAAAGTTAAAAACTTCATCATTTTCTTAGTCAAGATAAAAATCTTTAACATGTTGTGCTAATTTTTTTTTAATGGGTCAGCTTTACTGTTTGTGTTTCAGTAACTAGGTAAGAGAAAAAAACCAACAGTAGTCTGGGAGCCAAACGAGGGGTTTTTTATTCTTAGTCTTTCACCTCTGTATTTTGGGAAACTGCAAATTATAAAGCTGGCTCTGATGAGGAATAAAATATAAATGACATGCTCATGATTACCAAAGGGAAGAAAATTTCCCTGAAAAGTCATGAAGGGGAGCACAGGTGGG